CAGAAAGGCACCGTCCTGAAGGAAAATCAATATTCATTACTCACATTGTCTAAGGATAGACAGAAAGGCACCGTCCCGAAGGAAAATCATATCCACATTTACACCGTCCACCGAAGAAAAACCATACCCATATTTACATTGTCTTCAGAAAGACAAGAAGACTATCCCGAAGGAAAAAACAATATCCATACTCTCCTCGTCTAATGATAGACGGAGACACCATCCCGAAGGAAAACCAATATCCAATACTCACATTGTCTAAGGATAGACAGCAAGACACCTTCCCGAAGGAAAAATCCATTATCGATATTTACATCGTCTACAAATAGACAGAAAGACCCCATCCCGAAGGAAAAATATAACCCATATCCATTGTCCACCGTAGGAAAAAACCATACCCATATTTACATTGTCTACAGAAAGACAGAAAGACACCGTCCCGAAGGAAAAAGACAATATCCATACTCTCCTCGTCTAATGATAGACGGAGACACCATCCCGAAGGAAAACCAATATCCATCACCACCCATATTGTAGCCTTAGCATGAAGAAGTAACAAGGTCTCCCCATATTGCCGAAAGTGATTTGCAATAGTTTATTGCAGATGTAAGTAAGCCTGTGTTTGGTGCTACTTATAGTTTTTTTTTGCTTCCCTCTTGCAGGTGGTAGTTCCTTGACTTGCTAGGGACATGAATATCGTCGACTAGTTGGATTCAGTCGGAGCTGGCATTTCTAAAATCTTACGGTCCCCCGTTGTGGTACGTAATTTCGAAGCTCTAGCATAAAGTAGGCGCATAATCGGTAAGGGTTATGCAAACTATTCTTCGTCTATTTATCAGGTACTCCCGTTGATGTGTTTGTTCTGTCAATCCATTTGAGCAGGTTTCCTTAGTTGCAGGCTTCTGATAATTATGCTTTGTACTTTTGACGACTTTGACGAAGCTGACAACTGAGTCATCTCCACAGTCGCCAGAAAGCAATCATGGAGGAGAAAAAAACATCAGTCCAGCAAAAGCAACTCAACATGGGGTCCGAGATTAATTCAAAGGAAATTTCAAATACTTGCGTCCTTTTTCAATTGGTTGAGACCCCTCTATGTAGCAATCCAGTCTAGTATATCCATTAATGTAATTGATGTCTTTGTGGCCATTAGTTGTAAGGCTTTCGAACCGTGTATCTATGCATACCTTCTTTTATGTTGGCTATGAGCTTTAATAAATTATGTTTGGAAGAGTGAACGATACTCCCCACTGTAAGCGAGACTCTCCATCATTACCAATCAAATTGGTTACTTGAAAAGAACTCCTAAATTTAAGGCTTTCTGGTGTTTGTAGGAACTCATCCGAATTGCGGGTACAACTTGAAACGGGAGTCTTAAGGCAAAATGAACTTAATTGTTACACTTGAATTTAACACACCCGCGCATCCTTGTTAGTCATAAAAAAACACATGTGCAACATGTTAAAAGACGAAGGAGGTGGAATTTTAAGGTCAAAAATTTGGGTGTGACAAACGCCACTTAGGATAAATAAATATTCTCACAATAGTCTGAAGTCTAGAAATAAATTAGCAGTATCAAAACTGCAAAGTAACAGACAAAGATGTCGAATCATCATGATAGGACATCTTGTCCAACATCTTTTTCTTCAGTTTGTTCTTCATGTTAGGACATCTTGTCCAACATCTTGCTTTCAAGTTAGTTTTACCAAAATTAGTGACAATCTCAAAAGCTTGGAGTTATCACAAGGCTTTAGATTATTTTCATTTATCTTGTCCTATTTGGATAATAAAGTTCATCAAACCATAATACTTAGGTATGCATCTTTAATCGCTTACTCGCTCATGTTTGACTTATCATAATTGTTATTAGTGTTGTAATCACGGTGGTTATCATCATTAAAAGTAGATATTTAAATACCTACAAAACAATGTTCTATATTCTCCTCTTTTTGATGATGACAACACATCTCTTAGGGGAGGTGGTAAAAGAAACAATATATTTTTTGTGTATGAAACTACCCTTGAGTTAGATAGAAGGTATACTCTCCCCTGAGAGTATATTTCTCCCCTTTGTCAAAATTAAAAAGGCGGGCAAAAGCATTTGACTAAAATATGTTGTGAGAGAAAGTTAAATAAAACTTTAGAGAGAGATCAATGAGAGATGAAAATGTTAAAAAACAGTTATGGATTGTTGGGAATGAGAAACATAACCTCTACTTATAGGTATGAGGTTGACTAAAAAAAATTATATTTAAAACATTTTACAGTTAACTAATCGATTAGAGCAAGTTCCTAACACTATTAGAAAAAAAACTAAAATACTGACGAAATTAAGAGAGGAAAAGTAACATTATCTTCTTGATAAGACTTCTCATATCTTTTCACTTACATAACCCGACAGTCAAATTCCCAATTTCATAACCCTAACCCTAATTTCTTCCATTATTATCTAGAATTTCGTTAATTCAAAGCTGCATGTTTCGATTCCATGAAGATTAGGTGGTTATCTTTGGCTTAAATTCCTAGCTTTCGAGTTTAGGGGCCTTGGTAATCCTTTGGTTTTTATTTGGATCGAGACAACGGTATTACCATGACTTGGGAAAGGGTTGCTATGACCGATAGAAAGGGTAGAAGTGGAGGTTTTTCAGTTTGGAAGGAGAACAAAGGAAAATGAGCTACTTCCGATGAAACTACGACTTCCTTTTTTGTCACTGAGTTTCCAGAAAAGATGAATGCTAAAGACTCGTTTGAGGTCTTCAAGGTCTACGGAGTCATATCAGAAGTTTTCATTTCTGCTAAGAGAGATAAGCGAGGTAATAGATTTGGTTTCGCCAAATTTTGGAAAGTTTGTGATCCAAGAATCCTGACCTGCAACCTTGATAGTATCGTCTTGGAAGGCAAAAAGATTTATGTTAATATACCCAGGTTTAGTAAGGAGAACAAGATGCATTTTCCAGATAGTAAAAATTTGAGGAGTAATATTCAAACTGGTCGTTCTAGGAATTTCATGAAACCCGATAATCTGGATAGGTCTTTTGCCAAAGTGGTAAAAGGAGATTACCCTAAGCCTGTTGATAGGGTTAAAGGAGGAGGTCAGTGCACAAAACTAGAGTTGGATGATGAATGGTTAAGGAGGTTGAATCGTATGAGAGTGGGTGAACTCATGGAGGATGGAAATGCATTGAACATTCAGAATATAATTTTTGAAGAAGGATATTTTAACATTAAGGCTACTCCCTTGGGAGCATCTCTATGCTTGTTGGAAGATACATCTGGAGGATACTTAGAGGTGTTTGTCAAGGAAGCTAGAGAAAGGCTGGATATCTGGTTCAGAGACATCCGCAAGTGGAATATGGAGGAAATTGACAGAGATAAGATAGTGTGGGTAAACTGCTATGGTTTACCTTGTGTCGCCAGAAAATTTTTAGGCAGATTTCTTCTAGTCTGGGATCTTTCGTCAAGTGCGATGAGAAGACGAGGAACAAAGAGAACTTGGACATAGCGACACTTCTTATTAAAACAAGATTTAGGATTATTACGAGTAACATGGTTGACATTGAAGTGAATAATCACACTTTTTCACTATCATTCACAGAAGACCTTTCGTGTGGGCGTGGAGATCCCTTGTTTGGTGAAGAAGATGAGGTGATAAATTCAGATGATTTTGAATCCTCAAACCCTTCAGATTTAGATGGCGCGTGGGAGATACCTGAAGAGGAAGAAACTGATGATCTCAATTCCTCGTACTCCGAGACAGAAGTCAGAGCACCAACTACTATTGTCCAAAAGGAAAATTGTGATATTTCTGTGTCAGACAATGTGTCTGTTGTTGGGGATAACATAGGGTTAAGTGTGGAAGGTGATGGGTCAAGAGGGAACAACCATAAGGGTTCAACTGCTTTGATTCGTTCAGAAGGAACTAAACCAAATAACTTTTTGGCTGACTTAGAACTAAATCAGTCCAAAGCAGATTTTGAGATACCCAGTCTTAATTGGGAATTGGTGGTAGATATGGGGCTGACTTTACCAATTAGTGGGCCTTCTGGAGGAGTTATTGGGCCTGCTGTTAGAGGTAAAGCTAAAAAGAAAAAATCTTCTTCATGAGGTTTATAACTGCATTAAAATACCCTACACCCCTCTTACTTTTTCATCCTGATTCCCACGACCCCCAAGGAGAACTTTAGACCTGAGTCGAAAGGAAATGCTAGGGAGGAAAGGAAGAAGAATAAGCTGTCTAAAGAATTATCAGAGTCTAGTTCTGCTCTATTATGCAGTGAATTGATAGCCGACACTGATGTGGAGAGAGGCAACTTGAGATGCAGAAGGGTCGTTGTCGAAGTTCCATCTAAATTGGGAGATTATCTTAAGGTTTTGGGAGTTCAAGGCGAAGATGAAGAGGATATTGGGCGTATTCTGAGGAATTTGGATAAGGTAGATAAGGATGTTGGTCTAGGAAAGAAGGATTTAGCTATAATTGATCCATGAATTTAATCTCTTTCAATGTTAGAGGTTGTTGTAGTTCTTTAAAGAGAAGGAGAATAACTCAAATTATGCAGAGAGGAAGTGCCGACATTTGCCTCATTCAGGAAACCAAGATTAACAAGATGGAGGCTGGTATTATATACAACATGTGGAGGAATTTTGACATGGATTGGTCATCTCATAACTCTGTTGGAAATTCTGGTGGGATTCTAACCATGTGGAATACTACTAGAATCACTGCTTGTTCTAGTTTTTGTGGGAAAGGATTCTTAGGTCTGCACTTTGTTTGGAATAATCATAGGTTGATTGTGATCAACGTTTATGCTCCATGTGGATCAGCTGAAAAGAGGAAGCTGTGGAGAGATCTGATTAAAATTAAAAGCAATTACTCTGATGTTGGTTGGATTGTGGGGGGGGGGGGGGCGGGTTTCAATACGGTGAAAAATAGGGAGGAAAGGAAAGGCCTAAGTGGTAATAATTGTAGGGATATGAAGGATTTTTTTTAATTCATTGAGGAAATGAATTTGACGGATCTACCGGTGTTTGGAATTCGTTTCACTTGGTTCAACTATAATGGTAAGAGCAGAAGTAAATTGGATAGAATTTTGGTTGATGACAGGGTTATCTCAATGTTTTCTCTGAAGAATCAAGTGGTGGGGGATAGAGACATATCAGATCATCGACCGGTGTGGTTGAAGTCCAATCTCGTCAATTGGGGACCAAAACCATTTAGGACTTTCAACTGTTGGTTCTATCACAAGGATTTCATCCCTTTCATTACGAAGTCGTGGAGCTCGTATCAAGTCACAGGTTCCTATTGCAGCATCCTTACTAAGAAATTTCAAGCTCTTAAATCTGACCTCAGGATTTGGAATCTCAAAGTGTTTGGTTGGCTGGAGGTAAACGTTGAGGATAATATTGCTAAGTTTAACAAGCTGGAGTTGGAATCAGTCGAGGACTCAAACCCGCAAGCTGCTAATTTGGACAGAGAGAAACTGCTGTACCAGGAGGAAATGCAGAAGAATCTGAGGATCAAAGAAAGCATGCTGGCCCAGAAATCCCGGGTTAGTTGGCTACAAAACGGGAATCTTAATACCAAATTTTTTCATGACTCCTTTAAATCTAGGAATCGGCCGAATCGACTTTCAGCTGTTAGAGTGGGAGGCAGGATTATGGAAGACCCTGAGGATATTAAGTTTGAAGCGGTGAAGTTCTTTAAGGGTAAATATACGCAATTAAATTCGGCTAAGTTCAGAAGTGATTTCGCTTTGGCTGCTTGTCTTGATGTGGAGGACAAATTTTTATTGGAAGCAGATTTTAGTCCCACTGATGTGAGAAAGGCTGTCTTCAATTATGATGGTAACAAGTGCCCTGATGTCGATGGCTTTAATTTTAAATTCATAAAATCTTGCTGGGATACAGTTGGTCAGGACTTATCGAATTGTATCCTGGATTTCTTCAAGACAGGAGTTCTCCCTAAGATGTTTGCGTCCTCTTTCATTTCGTTGGTGCCGAAGATTTTCAACCCTCAACAGTTTGAAGATTTTAGGCCAATTACTCTGGTTAGCTATATCACCAAGGTTATCTCCAAGATGCTTGCCTGCATATTGAGCAAGGTTATTCACAAACTTATTTCTCCTTCTCAAACAGCTTTCATTCCGGGTCGACAAATTTACGATGGGATTCTGTTGGCCAATGAAATAACAGACTATGCTAAGAGGTTTAACAAGGAATTACTGTTTTTCAAAGCCGACTTTGCTAAATCCTATGACTGTGTCGACTGGTCTTACCTTGATGAAATGCTTGTCAAGATGGTTTTTAGTCCTAACTGGTTAAAATGGATTCGAGGATTTGTGTTCAATAGCTATATTTCGATTCTTATTAACGGAAGTCCTTCAAAGGATTTTAAGGTTGGAAGGGGACTGAAGCAGGGTGACCCTTTGGCTCCGTTTCTGTTCGCCATAGTAGCAGAGGGTCTGTCTTGTTTAGTCAGAGCCGCGACTGCCGGTAACTTGTTAACAGAATTCAAGATCAATGATCAAGCTTCTGTGAGCATGCTTCAGTTTGCCTACAAAACTCTGCTTATAGGAGATGGATCAGTTATGAATATTTGGGCATTCAAGGCTGTTATGCGCGTGTTTGAATTGATTTTTGGCCTGAAAATTAATTTCTCAAAAAATTGTCTTTATGGGATAGGAGTAGACCCTGCTTTTCTTGTTGCAGCTGAAGAATTTCAGCACTGTAAATCTGGCAGGCTGCCGTTCAATTTCCTTGGTCTTCTGGTAGGAGAAAATCATCGTCGACACTCTTTCTGGAACCCGGTTCTGTCTCGTATGAGGAGTAAGCTATCAAATTGGGCTGGGAGAAATTTGTCAATGGGAGGTAGAGTATCCCTCATTAACTCGGTTTTAGCTAACTTGCCTATTCACTACTTGGCTTTTTTCAAGGCTCCCAAGAAAATCGTGAACGATATTATCGCAATTCAACGGTGTTTTCTTTGGGCTGGGAATTTTAGTAAAAAGTTCATCTCTTGGATATCTTGGAACTCCATCTACAAGCCGAAGGAACACAGAGGTCTTGGAATTAAACACGTAGGTCGTTTTAATTGTGCTCTTATAGCAAATGGCTGTGGAGATCTCAAAGCGGCGGAAATGAAATTTGGAGAAAGACGTTCAATCTCAGATACGGTAACTTGAGCATGAAGGTGCAAACTTTCGCCGCCGTCGGTAGCTCGAAATTCGACTCTCTTTGGATGAAGGATATTCTGTCAAGTTCAATCTACGACTTCCATGTGGACTTCTGCAAGTTTACGACTTGCACTATTGGAGAAGGTCATGGCACGACGTTTTAGCAGTCAAATTGGATTGGAGATTTTCCGCTTAAAAGTAGGTTTCAGCGGCTGTTCCAGGAAAGTTTCGACCGTCAACGAGATGGGAACTTGGGAGGACGGTTAGTGGGTTTGGAAAATTATAGAAACGTTGATAGATGCAGGATCCAATATTGAACCAGAATGGACCGATTGTAGTAATTTGTTGGATCAGGTTGTAGCCAACAATAATGTCGCTGATAATTGGAAATGGCTTCTTCATGATTCATTTTCGTATAAGGTAAGCTCTTTCTATACTGCTTTAACTTCTTCTGCTTCTGTTCACGATATTGGTAGTGATGGCGCAACACTTCTGGAGATCCTTTGGAAAACAGTGTTACCGGCAAAAGTCCAAACTTTTATTTGGAGGATGGCGCTTGATAGGCTGCCTACCAGATCTAATTTGATGAAAAGAAGGGTGATTGATTATTCCCAAAATTTGGATTGTGCGTTCTGTTCGTCAAGCTACGAGGATGTTTCACATCTCTTCTTCTCGTGCACTAAATCATCGTTGGTTTGGAATATGATTTGCGACTGGGTGGATATAGAGAACATCTCAGAGGATTGTTGTAATCTTCATGCGAAGGTATGAAAATCGAGACTTTCGGGTCGGTATAAAGAGGACAAGATCAACTCAATTTGGTTTATTTCTTGCTGGATTATATGGAGGGCTAGAAATAAGATAATTTTTAGTAATGAAACCATTGAAGTTGATGACATTGTTTTCGATATTAAAGTTTTCTCGTGGAATTGGTTGATATTAGGTAGACAGGAAAGTAATCATTGTAGCTTGTATGAATGATTTAAATTCCCGTTCAATTTTATGTAATAGTCTTGTATTAGGTTGTGTTTGTATTCTTGTTATTTTGAGATTTTCTTAATCTCTTTATAATAATATTTGCTTATAATAATATTTACAAAGACCGAAATATATATTTTTAAAAGTAGAGATGGATTTGACCGTCTCCAATTATTTTCATCTTGAAAATATTAAAATTTATTTTTTATTAATTAATATTTATTCCAAAACGGACATTAGAGACTATAATAATTAAAATGGTACAAATGCCGTCTCTAATTCCATGTTTAACTGATAGAAAGTCCAGAGACTGAAAATACTTGTCTCTAAATAAAAGAATAATTTTTACAAAATTTATTTTTGTGCATTCAAACCTCATTAAGTTTAAATTAAATTTTAGTCAACACATTTTTTTATTTTAATTAAATAAATAGATATTAGATTAAATATATTTTTTAATATTTTTAATTTGTTTAACGTTTTTTTTTTCGAATTACCTTACACAATTTAATTGTTTTCTTAAATATTTTATTAATGTTTTGTTTTGATGATACAGATTTTTATTATTGTGTTTTAGATGCATAAATTTAAAAGTCACGGTCATTGAAACATATAATGTTACGGTCATTATTGTGTTTTAGATGCATAAATTTAAAAGTTACGGTCATTGAAATATATATATATATATATATATATATATATATATATATATATATATATATATATATATATATATATATATATATATATATATATATATATATATATATATATATATATATATATATATATATATATATATATATATATATATTTAAGAATTAATTAATTAGAATAATATTTTTTTACTCATTAATTTATTGAAATTTTAAAATTTTTAAAAATATTCTAACATTTATTTGATTTAAAATTATAGAAATAAAAAATAAAAATAGAAATGAGTTTGTGAAGTTATTCATATAAATTATAAATATTTCACAATTAATATTACTTCATCAAAATCATTAACAATATATATAAATTATCCATTCTTATAAATATTTTAGGTAAATAGTCATTCTTATAAATTATTCACAATTAGTATTATTTATTTAAAATTATGCACAATTAATATTTTAGGTAAATAACTATTATTATAAATAACTCACAATTAATATTACTTAATTAAAAATATTCACAATTAACATTTTAGATAAATAGTCATTAAAAATTATTCACAATTAATATTACTTAATCAAAATTATTCGTAATTAATATTTTAGATAAATAGAATTATTATAAATTATTCACCATTAATAATACTTAATTGTTATAGTAAAATATTAATCAAAAGCATTAACAACTTATACTATAAGATAAAGAAACAAAAACAAAAAATACTAAAACTCAGGACAATACAATGGATTGATATTTCTCTTCCACTCGGCTAAGATAAACATTCTGTGAGGTTTTCTCTAATAATATTATTTATTAAATATGTTTTATCAAAATTTCAATAAAAAAGTTATGGTAATTACAGTGCTCCAACTTTTTCACTCTTAATTTTCACCCAAATTACAAATTAACTTCTCAGATTTCGCATCATTTCTCAGTCAAAAGGACTATAACACCCCAAATTTAATTGAAATATTTTAATTAATTTATTTAATTGAGAATATTCATTTTTCGGTAATTTTTAGTGGTTTTGTGGATTATTGGGAATTATGCATTTTTAGGTTATTTATTTTGAATAATAGTATATAATATGAATATATTAATATTATTATGAATTAAAATAAATATAAGTGAAAGAAGGGTAATTTGGACATTAAGAGGAGTTAGTGATGATAATATGGGGAAAGCCCAATTTTGAGGCTCAAGACTAGGTTTAACAAAAAGGAAATTCTGAAACGATTATGATTCATTTGTTAGACTGTGAAAAGAATTGAGGCCAGAACTCTGAGGAGAAGATTGGAGGCAGAAGTTTCGAGAGATTCCCGGAAAGATTTGTGAAGGCTTTGAATCGACAATTAAGGTATGAAGAGTATTACCTTCATGATTTTCTATGTATTTAAGGTCGATTTAAGGGATTTTGAGGGTAGATATGAGAAATAGTGATCTTTGTCCTTCGTGGCCTAAACCTAATATTAGTGAATCTAACCGTAGTTCATTGGGGTAAAAGGAAAAGTTAGGCCTTTGTGGCCAAAACCATGATTTGTTATATGTCTAACCCTGAAGGAATAAGAATATTTGATAGTGAGTAACTCTGATGCCTTTGGGGCAATTGTAGGGAAATTTGTGATTTAGGGCGTGAATATGTTGGGGGATTGGCCTAATGAACTGTAGGTTTTGTGACTTTATCACCGTAAGACCTTAGGGATGATTTAGGGATGTTTTGGGGGCAATGAGGAAGTGAATCGTGGGGCTTTTTGAGTGATGTTAAGTTCTGGTGCGTAGCAGAATTTGCTGTCATCGCACTGTTCGCCTAGTGAAGAATGCTTCGCCTAGCGAACAATGTTGTTCCCAGACTCGCCTAGTGAATAATCCTTCGCACAGTGAAGAAACTCGCCTAGAGAACATGCCAGCGAACGTAGCAGAGTTTCACGAATGTTGATCGTGTGCAGTGATGCCTTGATGTTTGATTTTATGATTTTTGTGATGAATTAACATGAGTATGACTGTGAGTTTTATGTGATGTGTACATGATTATATGATGATTCATATGATTGGAAAACTATGATGATATTACTATGATTTTGATGAATCCTATGATGACATGAGATATGATGATATGATGTTTTGATGATGATGATATGATGAATGACGATGCACCTATGTTGTTATTATGAGGGTGATTATTGACGTGTGCATCACGCATTCATGTGCATCTGGACTTCGGTTCAGAACCTCGATTACTTTGGCTTCAATCCCACTGTGCAGATGTGAAGTATTTTGATGTGCTCCGGTTCTCTAGTAGAATCGATCCTATTGATGGGGATCTATGGAGGGTTGATGGCTCAATGTCCATCGAGCTGTGATGATTGGTACCACATGCATCGAGTCTTATTGCATTTGCATTTATGAGATGATTTTGAGTAAATTATGACGTTGTGACCTTTGATATCCTTTGAGGAATATGAATGTGTTGAATATGAAAATGACTCTATTTATATGTTGATTTTCATACATTGATTATTATGAACCGTTTTACTCACCCTGCTTGTTTGAATGTTACCTCCGTGGCTCCACATGGGTAACGTGCAGATGACCAGGTTTAGCCGTGGACGCCGTCGATGATATTATTTTTGAAGTTTTGAGTTGTTAGCCTTTTTGGTTAACTTAGAGGGTCTTGCTCTGATATGTAACATCGGTTGGGGTATTTTGAGTTAAACTATGTTTTATTTTGAGTTTATTTTGATTATCTTCCCGTATGAGGAAAACCTTGATTTATGCCTTTTGGGCTCTGCTGCTTTGTGCAATTTGATGTATTTTGGGAAAACCCGTTGTTTACGGAGCCTTGACCTATTTTGATGATTTGGGAAATGTACGCCCTTTTTGGTGGCTTTTATTGAAATTTAATAATTTACTCTGATATATGTGATTAAATATTCCTTTTAATTGTGGGGTAGAAAAGGGTCATATCAGTACCCAGTGTCAGCAGCCGAAGAAGACTACTACTGCTGCCCAGACAAGTGGCAGAGTATTTGCTTTGAGCGGTGCAGAAGAATCCAAGACAGATAACTTGATCAGAGATACCTGTTTTATTAATGATGTTGAATTGATTGTTATATTTGATACTGGTGCTACTCATTCGTTTATTTTTCTTGAGTGTGCTAAGAGGTTGAATTTGAAATTATCTTCTATGATTGGGAGTATGGTTATAGATACCCCTGTCGCACCCTAATTTTTGACTTTAAGATCCCACCTATTTTCGCATTTTAATATTTAATATTTATGCGACTAACCAATATGTGCAGACGCAGTAATATCGAGTGGAGATAGCGTTCATTTTCACGATCAATCATCCACGCGCATTTATTCTATTTTCAACCGTTTTGTTTGATTTATTTTGTGAAGCTAGGTTTGTGGCTTTAAGTCAAGGAAGTTATAAAGGCTTTGTGTGTATTCCTTATCTCCTACAAGTTGTGCTGAAGCATTATGGAATCACATACTTTCCTCATTATGACATCTTAATCAGTACAAAGAAAATACTCTTCAAATTGCTCAGAGACTTCCCCAAGAAGGATTAGGGTTTCCTGTGCATTGAACTTCAAAGACACTGACTTTTAGACTGGCAGAACTTAGCGACATGGGTGAGAGGTCAGTACTCATTAAAACATTGCAGTTGGATAAAAGGCATCTAGAATAAGGACTGGGCAAAGAAATCGTTTTAACAAAAGACCCACAAGCATACTGAGATGACAAGCAAAGGAGGATTTCCAACTTCGTTTAAACACATTCCAAGATTCAAACTCAAAGTTTATGGAGGAGCAAATTCTAGAAATACACAAAAATGAATCCATCATAAGACTAACTTAAAGTTTGTATACTATGCTATTCAATTCAGGAAGGTGTTACAAGTACCGCCTACTCAAAATACCAAAATATAAGTTATGCAACATTGCAAAAGGCTGCTCTATTACTAAAAATCCGTATCAGTACTATTGACAGAATCATTTATGCCACACCGACATCATTGGACCATGTAAACCGGAACTCTTAAAACCACGACAACTTCCACAGCAGCAGTCCTAACCACAGGCCTCACAGCAACGGCTACGCAGATTCACAATCAGCCTACGCAGATGCAACAG